TGCAAGGATATTTGGTGGTTGGACACTGCAGGGATACTCTGCAGTTGGGCACTGCAGGGATACTTTGCAGTTGGGCACTGCAGGGATACTTTGCGGTTGGGCACTGCGAGGATACTTAGTGGTTGAGCACTGCAGGGATACTTTGCGGTTGGGCAGTGTAAGGATACTCTGCGGTTGGGCACTGAAGGGATACTCTGCGGTTGGGCACTGCAGGGATACTCGGCGGTTGGGCACATCCGTTAAGCATTGCAGGGATACTCATTGGTTGGGCATTGCAGGGATACTTGGTGGTTGGGCACTGCAGGGATACTTGGTAGTTGCTCACTAAGAGTCAGCTTCCAGTCGGGCGAGGATAACATCTAATTCAGAATCTAACAACCCCACTGCGAGGGTGGGGAACAATCCCTGCATGATCCTGAAGGAGATCCCGCTATGTCCTGAAGGCCTTTAAGGCACCTTGTTTTCCAAAAAAACCTTATATGGCTCGAGGAGGCCACAGATGATGAGGAGGAAGACGAGGAGGAAGATGAGGAGGCGCAGGCACATTGTACTTGGAGGCCCATGGGACTCAGTAACTGCTTACAACTGGGACAATAACCCTACTTATAATCAGGGGAAGCCCTATAAGCCTATTGAGGGTGGAGTATAATTAGGGTTATAAGCCCAGGTAGAAGTGCTTACTAAGTCCCTTGGGCCTCCAAGTATCTGAACATGATTGTCAAGTATAGGGTTATACGGGGGTGATGGAACAGAGAATGGAAACTACTATGTATTATCTAGGACTTGGAGTTCAGTGGTTGCAGCCCAGCCAGCATTGTCTTTCCAATCTTGAGTGTTCAGCTTCTGTGTAATCCAGTCCACTGAATCATTTGCCGCCACCCGTGTTATAATATATGCTCCCTGTATGCTGCAATACCCAAGTATTCAACAATCATATACTTGCCCAAAACATGTATTACAATCACTATTGCACAAACCCCAGGTACCTCATTATTGGGCACCCTTCGGGTTATACAGTGGGGAATAACCCTAAATCCCAAACCCAAGGGGTGAACTTTTATTAGCCCTAACCCGCAAACGCCACATGATACAGTAGTTTCCATCTGCCTTTCCGTGGCCTTATTTAGGGTTTAGGACATTTACCTCCCACAAAAACGCTTTCTGAGGGGCGGGGAGAATTATGTTCTAGGGGGAGGCTATTCGATATGAATTTGTGGGCCGCAGCCCACGGCGGCTTGAAGCAGAGTATCCACAACTCAACCCCCAAAGTTAAGGAAATTAGGGTTTGGGGTTTGGGATCCTAATTTTGGGGGTTGGGGTTAGCCACAAACCTCTTCTTATGGCTTGAGTTTCTCTTCTCAACGCATTTTTAAGCGCATGTCATGAGAAGCTGCCTGGTGTACAGAGGGTAGGTGGAAGGAGTCAAACTCCTGATGCCTGGGGCACCTAAGGCTTCAAATGGGCATATTTCTCTTTGTGCCCCTGAGCTCCAACTGATAGTGCGTGAATGTTGAGATGTAGGGAGTATACATATGTGCGCTATGTATACGTGTGCGTTGTTGTGTTTGGTTTTCGTGTATGTGCATATGTTATGTATATACACATATGTTTACAAGTACGCATAGTTAGAGAGCGACATATGATTTGGGGGACGATGTGGCTGCAGCAATATCACATGCAATTGTATCTCACTTAACGGAATCTCAGTTTTGTCCATGCATAAGCATTCTGAAGAATTGCCCACCCCAAAGACAACAGCACCCTGACGAGCCCAGCAGCTACAACTTCAAGTAGGAACTCTTTCCATGCATGTCAGGGCAGTGTTGGCAAGGAATACTGCTTTTTTTAGTGCCCAGGTCTAGTCTCGTAGATGATTTGGCATAGTCTTTCCATGAGGAATTTTGCAAGCATGCATCTGCAGCAAAACAAGCCGTTACACAAAGAGACCCCACCATCCACCTCAGCTGCTACTTAACAAGCTCAAGACGTTGAACGTCCTGCAATTATCCTCATATTCACGATGGTTATAATTAGTTACCATTATTGCTGTTATTACTATGATTATGTTATTGCTATTGTTACTCCTATTTCTATTATAGACTTCGGTCTGCAGTATGCCCCCTTTCCCGGGTCCTAGGCTTGCTAATGCTTAGTTATAGGGGCCTCTCTTCTCCTTGGCTATCTGGGTTCTAGTAGCCATCTGAGCTACTGTCAATGTTGGGCTTAATAAGGAACCCTTGATGGTGGACACAAGGGGTCCCTCTTGCGTTTAGTATAGTCCCTAATTTGATCCTCCCTGAGGAACCCATGTCCAGTAAATGATGAAGGAAATATACCATAGACGTTAAACCTTAGCCCCAAACCGCTCATCTAAATCTCCCAACCACATCGCGGCTTGAAGCTCCTGAGGCAAGGGACGGGATGAACGAAGAGAGCGAGGAGGACTTTGTGGTTTAAAAGACTTTTCATTGGTGTTATGTAGACCCCTCATTATGTAATCAACACCCTCCGTTTAAAGGCCTTAACATTAGGATCCCTATTTTGATGCCTATTAAGGGAGCGGGTTTATTCATCAGGGGTCTGGGTTAGTGGCAGGGCGGATGTTGAGCGAGAAGCGTAAGTTTCAAGGTTCCCAGTCTTAGAGTTAAACGTTCAGGGTTCAGGGGCTAGGGTTTCGGGTTTGGGCTGAGAGTCAGTCATTTACGAGATGCTGCCTGAGCAATCCCGCGCCTCAGCCATGAACCCCAAACCTTTACTGTGAGTTCCATACTCCGAAACCCACGAAACTACAAACCCCTAAACCCAACCCTGAACCCTATGCTGAGCCCTTCACGCCCTTGGCTAGCGGCTTTTTCCACAGCCCTTGTGGAGCAGGAGGATGAGAGTGAGGATAGCGAAATTTGTGGCTGTGATGTGGAGGCCTAGCGGAGTCAGGGTGCAAGGCCTAGAGTTTAGATTTTCGGGTTCAGACATTAGGGTTTAGGGTGTCTCAGCGTACGAAGGGATGGGACTGTACTCACATGAAGGCATGGCTATGGCGAGAGAATGAACTTAAAGTATGTTCGGGTTCCCAAAGTCGGGCTGGCTTGGCGGAAGCAATGCTGTCTTAATTCAGAAAACCCTATAAGAAACTGCATAGCAGTCGGGCTCACGTTCAGAGTCCTTATGGGAACCTTGAGCCCAACAGCGCATCCGCAGCCGTCCAAGTTCAAAGCTGAAACCAGGTTGGGAGGACTGTCCGTAGGCGGTGGAGAAGATGGGAAATGTGCAAGCCGCCTTCGTGGCGGGTGTCTCAATGGTTTGCGCGGCTGGTCTTATTGCATGGGGCCTGCTGTCAAGTGCAGCGACGACAGCAGCAGCCACCACATGGGCTGCTACGCTTGGCTTTTGGGGTACCATCTTGGCTGGTGTGTGCTCAGTGGTCGCTGTCTGCATGGGTCATGTGCCAAGCTAAGCGTCCCGCTGCGCAACTGGCTCGTCCACCGCCTTCGGCTCGGTCATCGCTGCAGTATGCTGCAATGGTATTGCTCATTGCGTGCGCTGACCTGAGTGCACATGCGTTTTTGTAATCTACCTGCGGCTTTGCACCATGATCTGAAAGCCTTTGCGATATTCGGTCAAAAAGCTTCCTTTTTCTTGAGCGATTGAGCTTGACATGCAGTCGGCTATGGCTTTATCGTATTTCTGCGAGCCCAAAGAAATGGACACTGTTGAACCTTTCTAGTTGAGTTGACGACAGGACTAGTTTGCCCACTTTGGGGCTGCTCTTCGCAAAGCCTCCAGGATGTCTCAAAGGGCACTTCATTATTGGTCCACGTGCACGTACAAATTCGTGTTACGTGCTACATCGCATTTATTTTGGGGTGGGGTTAAGATAGATTTTACTTCATTCTTGGTGTATGTAGAAGCTTACATGATTACCACACATGGTCCCAGATACCTTGTATTCGTGTAGGGTTCATCTAGACCTCGAATTTGTTGTGATTTAGTGTGATTTTAGGGCCTGTATTCCATACTGCCGGGGTCTTTTCCATTTGATTCTTCATCAGTAGGATTAGGCGCCTTTAGCCTGGACACCCTCAACCTACTGGATTTTGCAGGTGCATGGGCCTCTGAATCTGGATGGGTAGCTGGGCTTCGGTCAGAGAACATGAGTGCTGAGTTGCCCTAGTATTGAAACCGCATCATTAACTATATACCATTACTTACGCAAAAAGGTCATTCAAGGACAGTGTCCCATTGAGCTTTCATGTTAGTCCCTACATACTACATATTCCTTCGTTCCTTACTCACTCGAGTAGCTGGGGATTAGATCCCTTCAATACTCCCTACAAAGCCTTCTAGACTGGTACCTGTGCTCCCTCCCGCGCGCTTCCTTGGACACCAGTACAGAGGTATCATGATCCTCTCCGCTCCGTCTGCAGATGTGGGAGTTTATCCAAGCATTCCTTATACACTCCTGAACAGAGACCGCATGAATCGTCGTATGATCCAAATATGTTAATATAGCATATCCCTAGGGTCCCTGAATCTTGAACCCCACGCTTGATCACCTAAACCCCAATCCACTGATACCGTATGCGCGACCCTCAACTCTATATTCAGAACTTCAAATCCTAAAGCCCAGGTCCTAAACCCCCAAGCCCCCAAACCCTAAACCCTAAACCCTGAACCCTAAACCCAACCTAAACCCTAAACCCTAAGCCCAAGACGCCCATGTCGGTGAGGCTGCGCCTGTTGTCGCGACCCGAAAGCGAGGTTAGACCGGAGTTGTGCTATTAGGGTGTACCTGGACCCCAAAAGTATTTAAGATAATTGCCTTCATGGCTGTTATTGGGGGTTTAGGGCTATTGTTTTACATACTTTTGGGGGTTTAGGTAGGATAGGGTTGAGGATTAGGGGTTGAGGATTAGGGGTTGAGGGTTTAGGATTTAGAGGCTACGATTTAGGGTTTTAGGGTGTATAGGGTTTGATTAGGGTTCAGGGTTTACGGTTTAGAGCTTAAGGTTTAGGATTGAGAGTTTAGGGTGTAAGGGTTTCGAGAGTTTATTGTAGGGTTTAAAAGCCAATAGTTTCCAACGCCTTCGTGCAAACTTAATTTCACGGTAGTCCAATATGACCCCAACAGGCTTGTTCTAGGCATGTCGACCGCAACATTATTCATGTTAATTATTACTGGTGGTGGGTCAATTTTTTGCAGGGCCCTAAACGGACACACGATTTTGACCCCCAGTCATTAAACTTGATGGGGAGGAGTTGAGCTACCGCGGTTTGGAGTTCTTGTTACTATCTTTAAGGAGCGGACTTTTTGGGAAGGCTCCAGCTACAATCCCCAAGCTAACATTGAAGACCACCAGAACATTCCCTACAAAGACGACTGTCCTTTGAAACGCGTAGCAGCTTCCATATTTATATGGGGGAGGGGAGAATTTTACTGGGTTGCTGCCCATATTATGGTAGCTTAAGTTAAACTCCTTAACATCAACCCAGTTTAGGATATTTGGATTCATGTTCTTTGGCTGTCCCTCCTAAAAGAAGCCGAAGCTGTTACTGACGTGCAAGAGAAATGGGTTGCCCTCCCTCAGTAACAGCTGGATAGTAGGTATTGTATAAATCTATCTCTATATATATATACATATATGTAGTCCTTAATCTTATCCCTTTATAGACTGCTACTGAGGGTCAACCTTGACTCTGACATTCAGCGTGAGCCATGGTAGAGCTGGCTTTAATTGTAGGCTGTTTAGATGCGGCGCAAGTCTTTGCAACAGCTGGTAACAAGTTCTTGGTAGAATGGGGTCCTTTGTTACTCACTGAACATGATTGTGTGCCAGCCCTGTAGCTCTCATCAGGACAATCCTGCCTACCTGGGCCCCAAAAGTATGTAAAATGATGGCCTTTATGGCTTTTATTGGGGGTTTAGGGCTATTATTTTACATACTTTTGGGGTTTAGGTAGAGACTTCTCCTCAAATCGCAGATGTCTTGAACCCTGTCTAGCGAATTCAGGAGCAAGCAATCGCGACGAGAGCAGCGACGAGCGGCTCCCCCTTGCCAAGGACGCCGGCACCACCGAAAACCTCATGAGGATCATGGCCATCATCATCATCATCATCATCATCATCACCAACACCCTCATCATACCATCAGCATAGTCATCAGCATAATCATCACCATCATCATCATCATCATCATCCTCATCTGCTGCTGCTGCTGCTGCTGCTGCTGCTGCTGCTGCTGCTGCTGCTTTTTTGATTGTCGTTCTGGCAAGGGGTCTTGAGTTTAGTAGCTGCCAGAATTTTAAAGAGCTGCAAGCCTACCATGGGGATCGCTACTACCTGACTCGCGAGGCTTCCTGGAGGTTAGTTGGGAATGGAGCGACGGGTTCCTACAGCAATAAGTCTCCTGATATCGTCCCATATGTTATGCCTCCTTCATTCCCTACAAGCCACAAGTAATTACTGTGGATGGGGCATACTGCAGGAACCTAAACGATTCCCAATATGATGATTCCAGACCCCTTACATCGGATCCTCGAATTAACCTCAAGATCATGTTGCCCTACACTCTAAAGCCAATAGACCCTTATGTCCCCCTTCTCGAATCTTGGTAGCTATTTAGGCCCTACCTGAACCAGCACAACTTGGGGCCAGCGACATGGTTTGAAGTTCCGAAGCCCAATACACATTGGGTAGGGCAGAGATCCGTATGGCTATAAGTCCTAAAACTTGTAGTTATGACATGTACGGGTATGCTTCTGTAACTCGGGGTTCCACTCTGTTTTCTGTGATTAAGGAACAGTCCCGAGATCACGTGCGGGATCCTAGCATTTGGGGTATTTTCCTTGAATGGATGAGCTGCGGCTAAACCCTAAATCCAAAACCCAAAACCCCAAACCCTAAATCCCAAAGACCCAAAACCCTAAATCTCAAAAGCCTAAATCCCGAAACCCTAAATCCCTAAATCCCAAAGCCCTAAATCCTCAGGACAAGATAGAAGAGAAGCTGGACAGGCTGGAAGTCCAAGTTAGGCATTTAGGGTTTAGATTGTAAGGTTCAGGGCCAGGGCTTAGTGTTTAGGGTTTAAGGCCAGGGTTTAGGGCTTAGGGCAGGCAACACAGTCCAGGTTGGGAAGGAGCGGTCATGCAGAGTTTGTGGTGGTCTTTCTTTTTGCGGCCTTGGTTGCTTGAGGCGTGTGGTCTTGGGTGTAAAATGGCAGGGCTCCAGTTAGGCAGCCCTTGGGTAAAAGGATCCGGGGCGGTTTCATACAAGGCAGGATTTTTGCAGCGGCAGTGGAGCCAGAAACTGACCACCAGCACTACAATCGCTTCCGTCCCCGCCACCATCACAACAGCTACCATCACTAGGTACCCCAGTAGTAAGTACCCTTTTCGCCTTTTTATCTTGGTGTCCAGATTTAAACTGGACAGTAAGAACAAGGTTATCCTTATCATGAAGGGGTTACTGGGAAATTGAGATCACCAGCCTCCTCACAACTTTGACCCAAACTTTGGGAGGCTTCTGAAGATGCTGTCCCCGCCACCAGTGCCTCAGAGCGCCATGGCACAGCCTGTGCCTTCACCTTATTTTATCCTACAGGTGACTTGAAGTAGGGTTGTTCTTGTGGCGTTTACTGAGTGTATATGGGTTTCCTGAGAATATTGGTTGATGTCCAATTTGGGGACCTGCAAATGACACTTCGTGTTGGGTGCGGGGTTCTACGGCTTAGCTTACTGGTCCTGAAGGAAAGCGGAGGAGTGGATGACTAGACCTTCCCTTGCGTAATCCGCATTTCTACTCCAATTGTGGTACCCCCTGAACCCTAAACCCTGAACTCCAAACTGCTCAACCATCCTCCTCCTGTAAGTGATCCTTGTGAAGTTCTGGGGCATCGCGGTGAATCATCGGCTTTGGAGTTTGTCAAATCCTTCTGAGGAAATAAGGGGGTGCTGGAGCATTGCAAGTTGAAGTTGGGGGTCATAATGATGAAAGCTCCGATGAGGGCTCTAGTGAGGAAGATGTCGCTGTCCAATTTGCGAGTGAAGGCCCAACTGAGTAAAGAAGTCCTTGCAGCCATCGAAGCAAACACCGTCTACCTGAAGTACTGAGTGAAGTAGACAGTTACCGACACGGCTAAGAAAGACCCCCAAGCTTACGCTAGACACGAGAAAGTCGACGGAATTATTTAAAAATGCTTTACCTTCGGGTTCGGAGTGGAGTGCATTCGAAACGTCCGAGACTTTGGGGGAGATTTGGGGGTATGACATGGGTTCAGCGTTTAGGGTTGAACAGCGTGAGCTGCTAAGTAAATACGGTAAGTTTTGGGGGGGCATAAAGCACATGTCGTTGAAACACAGCAAGTATGTGTTGTGTACTGACCCAGGCAGTTAGATGATACCTTGATTAGAGTTTTATAAACAGCCATATGATGATCAATTCTATGGCAGGCTGTTAGTTAGTGGGGGCAGTACCCACGTTGTGTCAGGGCTTTCGGGAAGAAATGGGCAAGTAGTCGAATTTCTACATGAGACAGGCCTTCCTGGCCTGCTTGTTGTTACTTTAGTAGTGCAATGAAGACTTAAGTTTAGCGATTGAAAAGGGGCATCTTATTCTGGCGTTTGTAGCAATTAAGGCACAGAACACAATTACAGCAACATTTTGAAAGCTGAAAAGCAAATGTTTCAGAAGCGATGAAAACTTATAATTCCCCCGTCCCCCCAATCTGGAACCTCTACGAAGTTCTGCAGAACAAGCAGGTAGCTATTTTTGAAAGAGGGCAGGTTCTTTGCGTGGATCTTCTTTCGATCATACGGAATTTTCGGTTGATCACGATGCGAGATGGATTGCCCCACACTTTGGGTATAATTGTCTGGTGGGTTTGTTCAACTGCTGAAGGCTCAGGTAGAGGTTTGTGTTCAAGGGTTTTTTGTGTAAAGGGGATTAGGGCTTGTCAGCCGTACGAAGAATAGAACCTTACTTGGCTCAACCACCACAAAAAATGCTACTCAGGTGGCAATCTCAACAGACACTGCAGCAGCAGAAGCTTCGGAAGCTGAAAGCTCGGAGCAGCCCGAGGAGCCCAGCGCAACAGCGGAGAATGGTGTGGAAGGGGTGCCGTGGGCAAGTGAGTAATGTGGGGGCCTAAATAACTGCCAATATTCTGGTCCTAGCTTTCTGGTATGAATATGGTAGAGGGTACCCCTTGGGCAGGTGAAACACAAATACTAAGAGGTTTAGGGCTTAGGGTTCATAATACCCCCCCCACCCCCTAATCATAAACCCTCCAATATGTTACCATTTTAGATTACCGGGAAAATTAATCAAAAGGGGGGTGGAGGACGTTTATTAGGGGATTACCTAGGATTCATAGAACTCGCGCCATCACATGGACAATCAACCAAGGTGATAATGGGCTTGAATCCCGCCCTGCAACTGCCAAACATTGGGCACTGAGTTAGATAATATTCATGAAATAGTTTTATATAGCCTATATAGCCCTTGATAGGACCCTTATAGACTGTTGCAGGGCGGCGGCTGTACCCAAGCTAAACGTTCTACAGTGTGTTTGCTTCGCTGTTGTGGGTTCATCCTTTGCAGCTTCACGTCAGTTCAGGCAGAAGCCAAGCTGTTTAGGGTTTTAGGGGGGGTTTAGGGGGTTTAGGGTTTAGGGTTTTAGGGTGTTTTGCAACAAGAACCTCGCAAGATGCGCCCCTGTACAAACAGAAGAATCTTCTACTTCTAATGTATAAAAGTCATTCCCCGGTTTAGTTCATCTTTGTTGGAAACGTGCCTCTTGGAGTGTGATGATGGATGTGCTTTTTGCTTTAGCCCAGGCAGAACTTCCGGCAGAGCCTGAAGCAGAAGAAACTTCGGAGCTCCCAGCCCTGGCCCCGCCAGCAGAGCTCAGTGCACGAGCAGAGACAAGCGTGGAAGAGGTGCCTGGAGCAACTGAGGACTGCTATCAAGGGTTTACTTACTGGGATTCTAGGACGGAACAGGGGAGTACGGTACATAGGGATTATATTCCCTTATGCCTGACTAAGCACCAGGCAGAAAGTTTAGGATTTGTATGGGGATGCAGAAGGCTAATCTAGCTCTACGTTCGGAAAAGTAAGGTTTTTCATCAAGGTCATGATCATTTTGTGTCCCCTTGTAGAAGATGGCCTCTGGCATGCGTGTACAAACAGAAGGCATTGGCCATGGTCCTGGCAAACACACAGGTGGGCTGGGCCTTAAACCATTTTCCCCTGCGGCTGAGCACCGCACAGATTATGTTTTGTACGTGGCCACGCTCATCACACCAAAGTTGGCAAAAGCCCCTACTCAATTCAGACAGGAACGAAATAAATGCATGCGTTCTCCAGCTCATGTTTCGGCATCCAGGTTTACCAAGTGCTCCTTGTTTCACAGTTCCATGCTCAAGCCCAGGTAGAACTTCCAGCCGAGCCTGAAGCAGCAATAGCTTCGGAGCTGCCAGACTCTGCGCCGCCAGCAGAGCCCAGCACACCAGCAGAGACTGGCGTGGATGAGGTGCCTGGAGAAAGCAAGTAATGTAAGGGCTGAAATAGTTACCCATGTTTTGGTCCTACGTAGCTTCGTTGTGTAACAATGGTAGAGTGTACCCCAAACAGACCTCAACATGGTATTGAAGCTATTTAGGCCCCTACATTACTACTTTAAAGGATCACGGGATTAAACGGAGATTCAGAGCTATTCTGTAGGTGTGTTACGTGGAAAGCTCTATGTGCCTTGAGCAAGTCTGTGCCCAATCCGACCCTCGCAGTGTCGCATTCAGAGGGTGTGGATGCTGGGAGTCAATGATGCCATGTTTTTTGACATGAGGGATGTCAACAGGGAGTTGTGCGCTGGTTGAACAAAGCCGCCTTACACGTCATAAGCTCGGGTTTTCTACTGAAGAAGATTGCTGTCAGGGCGTGACAGAATCAGCGGGCGCACCCGTTTTTGGCAGTTCCGGGGAGCCACCAGCGGAGGATCCACCTGAGACCCTCGCAGAGCCCACCGAACCAGCGGGAAGCCCTGCACTCCTTGGGGAGCCAGCAGAGCCTGACACCCTCGCTGAGCCAGCGGACCCTGAGAGCTCTTTGGAGCCAGCAGATACTGTGGCAGAGCCAGCCAAAACTGAGGCTTCCCCAGCACCGGCGGAGCCCATAGCACAGGATAGCATCCCTGAGCCAGCAGCATCTGAGGGCTCTACGACAGTGGTGGAGCCAATGCAAACAGCGGAAACTCTGGCGTGCAGATGATGTACACCTATCAAAAGAGGGTGTCAGGTCTATTTTTCGTGAAAAGCTACAGGGTATAGGCTACAGCCCAAGCAAAAAATGCATCATGTTGTGTAAATGCGTATAGTAGAACTCAATACAGGAAATTGCAGAATTCCTCAGCTATAGTCCCCTGAAGTAGACAGAACAGGGTTTTTGGTATATTACATTATATAAGTAAGATCCCCATATATCCCATATTCTATCTACTAACACCCTAAACCCATATACCCCATATTCTATGAGCTACGGACTAAACTTAGGTTGGGGGGGACCTATATAGGGGGAATATATAGGGCTTTAGGGGGGACCTATTTAAGGGATATACTATAGATTTATTCCAGGGCTCCTATCTACTTAAGGGAGTTCCTCAGCTAGGTGCATCCTGCAAAGTGACACTGGAGTTCCTGCTACCCAGAGGGTCCAAGTATTCAATAATTAGGACCCGTTAAAAGGGATATGTAGGGTTATATACAGGGTAGATGTGGTTTAGGGTTTAGGGTCCAAGTATTCAATAATTTGGTACTTGCGTGTAAGGTACTAGTAATTATATTTCAGGCTTTGGGTAAGTATATGACTATTAGGTACTTGGACCCTTAGGGCTACTCCTTGTCCTTGCTGGCTGCTGTGCCCCAACGTGATTGCCTTTTTCGGCCTTGAGTCCCATGCAAACCAAAGAACCCTAAACACCCCCTAAACCCTAAACCCTAAAACATAGCAAAGGAGTTTGATGGCGCAGACCATCCAGCGGAATGAGGATGCCTCTGAGCCTCTGAGTGCGCTTTAGCCTTCACAATTGCTTTAGAAGAAGTATGAAACTTGAGCTTTACACACACCAAACAGTGGTCAAGGCTTTAAAGGGCTTGAGGGAGTTTAGGGCTTAGGGTTTAGGCTTTGGCTTCAAAGGAAGCTGCAGGGCGTCTTCTTCTTACCTCTGGTTTTCACGGAATGAAGGAGTGGAAAAGAACATGAACATTAATTTCTATTTCTATTGATTGTCCACCTTAAGTAGATAGACTATAGGATATATGGGGATCTTATTATAATGTACCCAAAGCCATGTTCTATCTACTTAAGGGGGACTACGTTAATTTAGTGATTGGACATGAAAATTGTGACTATTGTGTTTTCGGAGATCATAGTCAGGACTCTTCACCTCTTGCAAACCAGAGCCAAGTGTTGTACAGGACATCATGCAGGGCGTTGCCAGCAGAGAAAAGGTTTCTTGATTTGAAGGGAGGGGTCCCGGGCAGACAATGGTTCGGGTTTAGGGTCCCACTGGGGGCTTTAGGAGAGACCTTTATGGAGACCCTGTAGCTTGGGTGGCAGTATGGCTGCTTGGTTATGTTACCGTTATAAAAGCGTCAGAAAAGTTATGTATGGTACGGCGTCTAGGGGTTTATAAGGATACCCTCACTGGAAAAGGCTATCATAAGCACGCTGCAAGGCCATAATAACTAAGAAGCGGGCCCTCCCCCAAGGATCCTCTGGTGGCTCATGAAAATTTAGGGTTTATGGGTTCAGGGTTTAGGGTTTAGGGTTCACACCTTCCTGCAGCAACCATCCGCAAATGCTTCTCGTGGTAGTTTCCCAAAATAGGGATACTCCAATATGGACCCCAAAATATTACGATCCTTTTGCTGGGACCCCCCAAAATGGTCCCTAAACCCCCCATGCAAGTGGACTCACCTCAGAGACGACATTTTCATTCCCGCAGCATCCAAGTACCCAGATTATCGGGGTTGAGATTGGCCAATCTCCGTTCCTCAGTTCCTCTCCATAGTCGGAAAACGATCTTCTTCGCGACATTGATAGTTGTCAAAAATGGGGCGAGAATTTGGGAGCTTTGGTACAAGCATCCCCCGCCTAAACCCTAAACCCTGAACCCTAAACTGAACCCAATACAACCCCATTTAGCCCCAATATAACCCCAATATAACCCCACTATAACCCTAGCCCTAGAAGCCATGGAAGCAGATCCTCCTGAGACCGCCAAGCAGCTGCGAGCAAAGCTGCGCCAGCTTTCAGAAAATCGGTACAAAGGCAATTTGTACCAGCAACTTGAGAAGATCAAGACAAAGGTGGTCCCAGAGCCCAACTTCCGGGATGATTTGGTTTAGGGTTTATACGGTTTGGGGTTATATTTTTTTGGGTTTAGGAGGACTACTGCGGGATCGATTCATTCACTTGCCGACTAATCACAAGTAAGCCAGAGCTCCGAATTGCCGAACAAGCTTGAAATCGCACTAGGGCCTTCACTGAAATTCACTCTGATATGGAGAAGCATTCTGCATCCCCTCTCGCTATACGAATTCAATACCATATAGCAAGAAAATTGGTCATTAGGGGGTGGAAGCGGTTTCTTATTGGGGGGGCCTCGCGGTATTGCGCTCTCGAGGTGGTCCACTACAGCGCTGACGCCAGCACAACCTTGTTGGCAACTGGCTTGCCCCCGGACAGCACCATCGACTCTTGCAAATCCATGTTCGAGCCGTACGGCGAAGTCAAGCGAGTAAAGATCCACCAGGTAAGGGACAGCGCCGCCAGTGCTTACGTTGAGATGGCAGAGATTGATGATGCGATAAAGGTGGTCACGGGCCACATCCGCAAGGCCTCAGACCGGCTGGCGAACGAAGACTCGATTCCCACGAGCGGCTTATCAGTGGAGTTTTCCGCACCAATGGACGCTTTGTCTAGATCCGCGCTCTTCAACTTTGAATCCCAGAATGCAGCCGTTAGCTTCCTTAAGCAGCTCCTCCACATCTTCGAGAACCCCATCACGGAGATCCACCTGGGCCCTTCCTGGTTAGTGCCGGAGACGGACGCCGAAGATGAGAACCGCCCAAGCTTGGAGGAGTTCATCAGCGACGTATCTTGTTGCACAGAGGGTCCAAGTACCTAATAATTAGGTACTTGGGTCTGGGGTAATAGCAGTTATACTTTGAACCCTGAACCCTAAATTTTGGCCCTAAACCCTAAACTCCTATATGATTATCAAGTACTTGGACCTGGAGGGTTGGTGGTGAGTAGGGAATGACGGCATTAACAAGATCTCAGGGTTTGGGGGTTTGGGTTTAGGGCAGGGTTAGCATGAGGGATTTAATGCATTGAAAATTCAATGCATGAGGACGACAATCGGCATCCACGCCTCCATTCCCCATACTATCCCAAACCCTATAAACCTCAAACCTTGAGCCCTAATCCCGTAAAAAACTAAACCCTTAAAATCCTATACCCTAAACCCTTAAAATCCCATATGCCATACCCTTAAGATCCTGAGCCCAAAGCCCTTCAGAACCTAAATCCCAACCCCGAACCACCAGCAAGGTGTTGGTGCTCCAGTCTGTACAGGAGACATTCTTCCCTCCAGCTGATGAAATTCTGCAGGCCCCGGATAGTCCTCCTAAAGGATTTAGGGCTTGGGGTTTTAGATTTAGGTTTTAGGGATTTAGGGCTTAGGAGAAAGAGTTTAGGATTTGGGGCTTAGGGCTTAGGATGTGTCATCGCAGGAGGCTTGTGAGTGGCGGCACATCGGGCGGCACGCTCGCACGATTTTGTTAAATAACCCACCGAAACTGGGAAGTCTCAACATTCCCACCCGCTCTGGAAATTCCACAACCCAAACCATGTGCTTCAGGGTTTAGGGCGGGGTTTAGGGCTGGCGCCTTCAATTCCTATCTCAAGATCATTCACGCGCTGGCAGGTGCCGCCCTAAGGCCTCCCAAGGACCTCCCAGAGGGCCTCTCGGGGGCCCCCCAAAACCCTCCCAAGGTTTCTTCCAGGGCTTTCTAGGGATGCAGATGAATTTCACCGTACTTGTCCATTCTATTCCTCCATTCTCCAGGCACCTCCACAGTCTTACCCAGTACGGGTGTAAAGGCCGACATATGTATTCAGTGTCTGACCACCCTAGCAATAGGCGGGAACGGCCAAAGCAGGACAGGTGGGAATTTAGGGCTTAGAATTTAGGCATTCAGGGTTAAGATTTGAGGCTTAGGATATGGGTTTAGGATTTAGGTTTGAGGGTTAAGGGGTTTGGGTTTCGAATTTAAGGTTTGGGGGAACAAGAATAAGCAGGTTCCCCTCAACTAGGAGTTTCACGCTAGATGGAAAACGGTACTTGGAATCCCCATAAATTTTGTACTTCCTAAGATAAGGGGAGGTATCTAGGGTGGTGCAAGGAGACTTCTGGCAACCATAAGCTCTGAAACCTGGCACAAAACCCTGCCATGTAGAGAAGCTGGAGGATTTGAAGCTACCGCTGCTTGGTCCAATTCTTAGTGGCTTTTAGTCTGGATTGTAGTTAGAAGTTCTCAAGACTGCTGTTCTTCATTATTCAATAGGGATAATTACAGGCATCCATACTGCCCTTCCCTACTACTTGCAGACCCTGAAGCCCTAAACCCCAAACCCTCACCCCAACCTCTAAAAACCTACACCCCTGAACCCGAAATCCTACACCCCCCCAAACCTTAGACCTCAAACCAAGACTCCTACCCTAAACCCAAAACCCTAAACCCTAAACCCGAGACCCTAAACCTTAAACCCTTTACCACCTTTAGGATGCTAGATCCAAGCATCAGACCGGGGCTCGCGATCAACGTGCGGAAGTTGACCTCAGAGGAGCTCACGGATTTCGGGTTTGGGGGTTTAGGGCTTAGGGTTTAGGGCTTAGGGCTTATGACTTAGGGTTGAGGGTTCCTGAAACAGGGTTTAGGGCTTGGGATTTAGGGTTGAGGGGTCCTGGTTTAGGGGTCACTTAGGGTGTAGGATTTGGGGTTAGGATTTGGGGTCCGCGGCTTAGGGTGTCGCACAGTTAGGGCTTGGGGCTGATGGGTTGGGATTTTCGTGTTTAAAGCAGACCATGTGGGCCCTAGAGGAACCCATGTGGGCCAACATTATGTGATTTTGGTACTTGGACCCTTCCCTTGGAGGGTCGTGGGTGTTTAGTAAGTGGCTTGATCCAGGGATAGCTTGAGGTTACTATGCGGCTTGTGGGGGGGGGGGTTGCAAGCATACTTACCAAGTCCTCGTGGCCCTTCAATTAGGGTAGGGTAGGGATTATGGCTTATAAGCCCGGAGGAGATCAAATCGCTGAGGCAGCACAAGAGCAACTTCCCCTCCAAGGAGCCAGATCCAAAAGGGAAGGTGCTGGTCGCAAGGTGGGCAGAAGTTCAAATTGCGCACAAAAGTCCCCAATATGAGCAAGATGCTTCTCCTTTCAAATATCTTATCAGATGTAGGGCTGTATGCCTGCTTGTAAGGATCCTTGGACGTAATCCTAGGTGCCGACATTGGTTCCTGTAAGTGCGAAATGGAGACTCGTTTGAGGGAACCTTTCAGGGGTTCGACCTTGTGGGTACATCCTTGGGACCTGTCAGAATTAGTCTTACTCAGTTCAAGTTCATAGACTCTAAACCCCAAAGAAAAAAAACAAACACGACTCAGGTGGGAGACAGTGTCGCTGATCATGGAAAATGGGGAGGTGCGAGTTTTGGGGTTCGGGTTTCGGGTAGAATCTAAAACCTATAACCTTGAACGCAGAATCCCCATAGAATCCCAAGAGCAGACCCCGTACTCGCCTGACATATCCTCGGGTCCTGGGGTCGCTGAGAACCCCTAGCTTTAGAAACTTCCAACCAACCTACACATGAGTAGTATTTTATTTGGGGATACTATAGTACCCAATATAGAGTAAGATTAGATCCTCCTTTTGGGGTATAGTATCTTATATAACGAACATTATCTTACTAGGTTCAACCACCAAAAAACACTACTCACATAGAAACATATGTGCATACACGCGTACAATTCCCTTCACCGGCGCTTAAGGTTCCCCTTTTGAGGAACCCCACCAGGTGGTCAAGAAAGATGGGAAGCCGGTCACGGACGTCAAAGGGCCGATCTTTGAGCTAAAGGGAAAAGATGGGCGAAACTTCGCCGCATAAGAGCTTGGGGTTTAGGGGTTAGGGCTTAGGGTCAGGGAGTCCGGGAGCCCTCATGCTGGAGGTACCTGAAGATTCAAGGTTTCAAGTTTACGGTTCGGGCTTAGAGTGAAGGAGCGTTAAGGGTCTGAGTACCTACGTAGTAGACAATTTGGACGCAAAGTACACACACGGGAGCCCGTTTAGTACACACACAGTAGCCAATTTAGTCCCAGATCATGTATAATGTTGGTTGGGTGCTTGCACCCTGCAACTTGAGTAATAATTGAGCCGTTTACTTAGGGTCTCATCTTCTCATCTCCTGGTTATACCTGCTATTCTTTTAGGGTCCTAAAATACTAGAGTTTTTCCTACCTTCATGGGCATGAAACCCTGAAACCTAGACATTAAGCCCTACACCTGAACCATGGGGGACTACAGGAAAGCTGCATCTCAAGATGCCGAAGCCAGAGGATCCTTGGCCACGGAAGGATGGTCCCATGAAGCAGGCAACCTGGATTGAAGGTTTAGGGGGTTTAGGGTTCTAGAGTTCTAGGGTTCTAGAGTTCTAGGGTTTAGGGTTTTAGAGTTTAGGGTTTAGGGTTTGGGCGTGCAATCCAAGCAGATGTAGAGCCCCTTCAAAGGGATATAATTTTGGGGCTATGCAGGCAGGGTTGTAGGGTCTCTTTAAAGGGGATAGGGTCTGTTTAGGGTTTAGGGCTTCGGGGGTTATACAGGAATAACACGTATGTACATCTAAGCCATACGCATGGGCCATACATATACGCATATAGGTCTGGGGTCTCATATTCAGGGAAAGGGTTCGGGGTTTAGGTTTCCTCAGTGCATTTCATGCAGGCAACTCAGAGAATTCACCACTTGGAGAACTTGTTGCTTTACCACAACGAGAAGGTCAGGAACCCAGAAGGCATGGGCGAGATCATCCCTGACTGGAAGGTCATCTATCCTGAGCTGAATGCGGATCAATATGGAAAGGCCTTGCTTCACCTAAACCCTAAACTAAGCTAGGAACCTTCATCTCTAACCTAGTAATGCTGGCATGATAAGCTGCAAGCCCCAAAGGCTTTGGGAAGCGCCTTCCTCACTGGCATGATGTACCTAGACAACGAAGACAGCGAGTCTGTGGAGATTGTCGGCAGCTGTGATCACGAAGCCTATGAGCGGTCCACAGTCAAAGACTGCTGCCGGATGGTCATCAGGCGAGAGAGCGGCATACTGGAGCAGTTCCCCCTAGCTGCTGCTTGGCAACAGCAGGCGTTGCTCCTAGCTTTCGAGCTGCGCCTACGTTGCTTGATGCAGGCCGATGACAACATCGAGGCGCATAGGGCAGTATGTGAGGATTTGCTTGAGGCGTACTGCTACGCATGCGAAAATCCAGATCTTCAAATGCTTTGAAGTTGATCTTCCTAGACTTTGGGCTTGCTTCTTGAACGTCTGAGCCTTGTGGCGAGCAGGAGTCCTTGCACGCTTTGACACATACTCCAGACATCAGAGTTTTTGCCCGCGATGTACAGTGAAATGCAGATGTACAGTTCTGCTGGACAGAAATGTGACATGTAAAATTTGAGGGGTGCAAATACTACGATTTTGAAGTTGAATAGGAAGGGTCCGAGATTGATTGTTGAAATAATTTTGTATTTATCCAATCATTTATGGATTTTGAAGATAAATGAAATAACCATTTCTCATAAACAGAATTGAGATCTGGTCTCGATCTGGTCTCGGCAATAGGTCAATTGCATTTATTAAGAGAGATCTTGATTAAGAATTTGCATATTTCTTTAGAAAGATGCGGGCCAGACCTCATTTTTGGTTCTGACATAAATCCGTTAGGATGATCCCTTTCCTCTTCAACGAGAATTTTTAGATTTGATCGTTATGACGATGAATTATCAAATATCTCCCATAATATGATCATTTTATTTTTATGAATTCCTATATAAAATGATCAATATCGAAGGTAATGAAATTGGTTCGATCAAAATCGTCAATAGAATATATGAGATCAATTTTATAGAGAATGATATTTGATATATAAAAGATATTATGATTTACTTAAATCATATAATTATATGAAATGGGATATTCATCGTTAATATCGTTGATTAGAAGAAGATCTAAAATTTAGATGATTCTTCTTTTCGATGACCGATATTTAATTTATAAGAAGATTCTAGATATTTGATCAAATAATTTCGAATCAATGATCTCTCAATCTTCGAAAAATGAGAAGAATAATTTATTAGAAATTAAATAATTATATTTTCTATATAGATCAAATATTAATTTCGTTTTCAAATGATTAATCTGAATTCTAAATATATATATATATATCATATTTCTTGAATTCTTATTTTGCGCGAATCTATATTTTCATAATTTTCAAAATATTAATTCTAATATTCTACTATTCTTATGAATATGATATAGAATTCTCTATAAATTCATAATATTGAAATTAATATATATTTCGAATTTAGAATATTTATTAATATAATATTCATTATATATTTATAGATAATTTTTGATTATTTGAAGAAATATATATCAGAATAAATCTATAAAAGGAGAATTGATAATTGATATTGATGAATCTTCAAAATTGGGATATTCAATTCGTCTATTTCTTATAATTAATTTTAATTGAGAATTTCAAAAAATCATAATAAATTTGAAATAAATAAATATATAGATATAGATTTTGGAAAAATCTGAGAATTTATGAATATTTCTATTCTCTTCTATCTAATTCGAAGAATCTTTCTTCTTTATTATGTATTTAAATGAATTCTATGAAAGAAATATATTTCATTAGATTTATTATTTTGATGAATCGATGAATAGAGAGTTCGAGAAAAAAAGATATAGATGATTATTAGATACGAGATTGCTAAATTTAATCGAGAAATTGATGTAGGGGCAAATTGATGAATAAAGAAATTGATAAATACGAGAAAATCGTAAAATCAAATGATAAATTCGATAAAAAAAAATAATCGAAATTTATAAAATAGAAAATGGCTGACCGATTGATTTAGATTGCTAGACTATGATGATACGCTGGCATATCTATCCCATTTTCTCATTATTTCTTCATTTCGTTTGAGGGTCTGTTGTTGCGTTATTGTTTTTCATTCTTGTGGCGTCTTCTTTCTCGTCTAATTCGTGACGGGCGGTAGCGGGGTTTCACGATTGGCATACGAATATCGAATCTTTTGGGGCTTCTTCTTCTCTCAAATGAATAGGAAGATTGGAAATATTGAACAACGAGATTTTTCTTCTTTTTCGCCTCGGAAGATCTCGAGATAGAGAATTAAATATATCATTAAATTATATAGAAAATGATTGATTAAGCTCATGAAACCATGGGGAGGACAATCTACGTTGATTATATAAATTGATATAAAAATAATCAATAAGATGATAATTTCATAAGATTTCCGACGGAGATCTTATACGATTAGATATTTTCGAGATCTTTAATCGTTCCGTCCGGATCGAAATTTTGAGATATATTAACGAGATTATTTGAAAATGATTTTGATATCTGAGGCGCCGTCATTTTGATAAAAACCAAATCGATCGTTTTTTTCATATTATTTCAGCGTATTCGCAAATCTAAATATTTGTGCAGACCTATTGAAAGATCCAAATTAAAATTCATTCCAATTATCTCTGGGATCTAGAGACCCTGCGAAGATATCCGAAGAATTATTCCCAATTATCTTTAATAGAATAATGATCTCATCTTTGGAGGGGCCATTTTCTCATATGATTTAGGATTGCTAAAATCATCTTGCCTTGCCGAATATAAGGATCTCTCGCGAGCATGCCCCATAAATCCAAATGATTCGAAATATTAAAGACAGATTAAATGATATATTCATATTATATCCAAAAATGATCTCATTATTTCATAGAAATATATCAGATTTTTCTATATGAAAATATTTTTTTATAAGAATTCATATATTTATCTTTCAAAATATCTAATTTAATAAAATCATAGAAATTATGATCTAGAGATATCATATCCATGATAGAATATTTGATTCTCTCATATTTTTGAAGATATTGCAAATTTATATTGAGAACGCGCTCGTCTATTGATTTCGCTTTTGACGAATTATATATGATAATAATCAATGAAATATGAATGAGATTCGTTTATCAATTATATCAATAATAGATTTTTCCTTCGTTCTTCAGATATATGAATCTATTTTATTGAAATAGATTAGAAAGAAATAAAAATCCGTCAAGAATCAGAATAGATGATTCAATAATTTATATCTCATCTCGTCTAATCTTAATATCATTTGAAGGAGAAGATTATATATCTAGAAGAAGAATATCGATATTCGATAATTTTATTTTCGATTCTTCAAATATAGATTCATATCTGGAAATCTTGAATATTGAAATCTCTTTCTTATCATGATAAGAATAGATCATATGGATTTTTTTCATCTTATCAGAAAAATGAGAATATTTCAAATAAATATTTGTATATAATTAAAAAGAGATGTCTATATTCAATTTTTTCATTCATTGAATAAATATATCTAATGAATTTATCAAAAATATTCATAATATTTAGATATATGTATTCCTCATTCCTATTTCTTTATTAATAAGATATCACCAATAATTTCATAAAATTAAAATTTCTATCATCTAATCATATCCCTATTAAATAATGAGAGAGAATGCGCATAATCAGTATGATATAAATTCATCTATAAAATCGCTGAATTCATTCAATCTGAAATTCCAGAAAATCATTTATTCTACGCAAAATACGACGCAGGACTTCTCAGAAAGATAAGAAATCATTGAAAATCTCCATATAATGATATTGATCGTCTATTCAAAAAATATCTAAAATTATATAAAGAGATAGATTATTTGCTATAAATCGTTAATCCCAATCATTATAAAATGATCGACCAAACTAATATATCAATCTAGATCTCGCCCAAATTGCCTGAAAATTTAGGACCTTCAAATTAAGAAATCTTAGAAATTAGATAAGATAGGATAGATATTAGAATGAATTTAGATTCAAAATCTTCCTTAATTATCCGCATTGAATCAATAATTATCGATCTAAGATAATCAAAGAATCTGGGCATTTGGAATCTTTTGCCTCGCAAATCCCGAATTAATCGCGTATTTCATATCAACATGATCTTTCTCCTATCTTCTCCCTATTTCCCAAGGAATCCCAATAAAGATTCTCAAAAATATCCAAGAATTCTCAAAAATCGAATTAGGAATATCAAAGATTCTTCATAGATCCTAAAAAATCGAAAACGAGAATCCTAGATGAATCTAGATTCAACCCCGAATAAGAGCCTGATCCCTGATCCCTGATCCCTGATGGACGATGCCCCAAGATCTCTATAAGATGATCGGACCTACTCGTTGAATTGGCGCGGATATTTTATAAAGCGCTCCTAGCTCCCCGCCTCCGAGATCCGGAATCAGGATCCTATTCAATATTGCGCCAAAATTCGTATAGGAAGATATATGAGATAAATTAGGATCAAAATAGATAAAAAGGAAACTCAATTTTGATATGAAATAATATAATCAATTTGGATTCTGCGAGCTTGCCAAGATATTTTATAAAGGATTCCCAAGATCTGGAATCAAATCCCTATCCAAGATTGAATTATTTTATATAGGACCTGCCTGGGATTTTAGGGATCCGAGATCAGATTTATAGGATTGCCTCTAAGAAGAATGAGAGATGCGCGATCCCTCCCTTCCCTGCACGTAGAATTCTTTTCCAAATCTATGAAAATTTCCAATAGATATCCCAAATTATATCGAATCCAAAATTTCTATTCCAGAATTTAGATCTTACCCTCCGTTATCTTTATAAAATGATTGAAAAATCTCTATCTCATAAAATCTTTCTATCTTTATAAAATATCGACCCCATTCTCATCTATCTCAAGAATCTGATATCAAAATTCAATTTCGATAATTAATATAATAGAATTCTTCAAATCAATATATTTTTATATAAAATTAGCGATAACCCGCTGCCTACAACAACGGATAATATATATTTTAAATTCGTCCAAATAATGAATAAGATCGTATATGAAATTCGATGAATTATTTAGATCGCATATAATATATAGAAATTGAAAGATTATAGATCTCCGCCCCGGATCTTCATATTTCGCCGAACTGCCGCACAGACAACCAAAGAGAGAGAGATAATTCGAAATCTTGAGAGATCTTTTGATCATCTGGGATTTTGATCGCGTGAATCCCGAATTTTATTCTGATCTTTCCGCTTCATTCATCTCTCTTGGATCATCTACGCGGCAGCTTGGGAGAGCGCATAAATCTCCGTGAATAATAAGGCGATCAATCCT